TTTGATAATGTTGATAAGTTTTGATAAAGACCTACTTCAATGAGTTAAGTTCTGGGAAACTTTTCACAAACATTTTATCTGTCAAAAATTTAATTTATCTGATAACCTTATATCTAGATAGACTTAAAATGTAGAACAGACTTCTGTATTATTCAATGACTAAACATTCACTTTGTGATTCTTGTGCCAATATAAATTAAAAAGACAACTGATCACACATTCGGAGATAAAGTGATTCGGGTGCTAATTTGTTGTCTTTGGTTGGATGCTAGCAAAGTTTAATTAAAATTAGATAATTTCGTTTCGTTTCTCTTTCCTGGTTCTTTACAAATCATATTAATCTAACCAAGTACTATCAACCCCATGTCCTGTCAAGAAGAGTACTATTTATTTCAGACAATCAAATTCGAATATAGTTATAACTCCTAAACTACCAATATACAATTTCCCATAAAACAAAGCCCTGTATACATGTACATTGTCTGCGATATCACTTTTGAAGAAGCAGAGGTTTAATTATTATTATTATTATTATTATTATTCATACAACGTTTAAATGGCGTATACCCTTCACACCAGTGTTCTGATGAGCTCTACAAGTTGCTATAATATATCACGTCAATCAAATAAAATGTATCTCAACAGCAATAGAACAGTGCTGATACAAATAGTTAACTTCCATATGCTTTCTAAAAAAACAACATTTTTCACTAAAACGAGGGTCTACGTGGGGTTGCATTTCAATGTTTTTGAAGCTTAATAAGAAAAATACCGTTCTCCGATTTTGGCTTTAAAAGATAATTATCAGATGACGTTTGACGATTTCTCGAGGGCAAGTGAACTACCAGTAGGTCAGATAGATAGGTAGTGACAATATTATAAAGATTTGTAGGTAAACAGTAAAATCTTAAAATCTATTCGATATACAATAGTTAATCAATGAAAGTGATAAAGCACCGGCATAATATTCAGGTATAGTTATATTTATATATAAGTGAAGATAACATCTTTTACAAACCCCATTAACTTAATTTGTCATATGCATATTCAAAATTATCAACAACAACAAATGGACAGCTAGAAACATCTTTTAAATCATTCTTATAGATACAATAAGAATGAACATGTATTCAGTTTTATCTCCACTGAAACGTAAAATATTATTTAACATTCAAATTTTTATTTCATTTATACATCCCGTCTTCATTAACCCAGACGGAGCAGAACAGTGGGATGCTAAAACCCATTTCATTTATACATTCTTCAAGTTTAAATTTGCAATCATTAAAATTACGTGTGTCATCTGCATATTATTATATATGTGATATTCCAGACCCTACTTTCAAACTGTTCTTTCTACATGTGTTTTATATAATGTAAACATGATAGGACCCAGCACTGGTCCTTGCGGAACCTCAAACAAGATATCTCACTCTTTTGATGAAACACCACTGATAGCGAATTGGTAAGTGATTTTATTGCAGGTGTAGCAAAAATCTTTACTGGTATCACCTTAAACCCAAAAATATATTACCGACCATAGAAATATTGTACCAAATGGTAACTTTCTGGTGCGCACCAAAGGTCTGGTTAAATGATATGATTAATTAAGAATGGCCAGTCTATTTTATTAGTATCGTATATTCGCGAGTAAGAATAGATTGCCCCCAATTGGCAGAAATTGGTCTAGTTGACTTAAAACCGACCCTGCATAGTATCCTTATGGTAATAATCAAAATCAAATAGTTCAAAAACAGAAGGCAAAAAAACTGTCTGGAGAATTAGAGTAAATCTTAGCAAGCTGATTGACAAAATTTCAACAATAACGCCTACATTATTGTCGTATTGCTGTTTTGATATCGTTCTTGTTTCTGTCAGCTGACTTTACCGTCCTTTGTTGTATCATCATTAAAGGTTTACAAAGTCGGTATGTGCCATTGTTTTGTTAGTATTAAGATTTTAAGACTACCTATTTTTTAATTCTCATCCAGATGTTATCAGGTAAATGAAATGAAGCGTCGCACTAGCTCTAACCACGAATAATAACCGCTATAGTTGAAATAGAGTTTGTGGTTAGATATTAAAACAAGATTTTTCTGTTTTAAGCACGCGTACACTTTTTACCCCACGAATAGTAAACCTTGTGATATGATATTTTATTGTTTGCAGTGTATTTGTAATGTACACATTAATTAAAATAATGTTTTGCAATGAAATAGTACAAATATTTCATCTGTATCCACATTTAGTTTTTTAAATAAAAATAAATAGTCACTTATTCATAAGTACAGCAAGGGGTTTCGAAATAAAATGAATTGAAATGGGGTTTAACGTCCTACTTTTCTGCACCGACTGGGATAATGAAGATGGGCATACGCCATACAGAGTGTCATGGGGAAAATTTTAACCGGACACCGGCGCTACGGACTACTCTTATTTCAAATTCCAACTTTACGTGCATCTGAACGACTATACATTGTACTTGCCAGGACCTCAACCCTGCACCACTGACATGTAGAAGCCATGTCGGAAGATCCGAGGGAACTTTCCGGGTCAAAACCAGGAGCGAACTTGAGACCTCCTGGTTAGCGAGCCCCAAGCGTTTCGAATAATAATGTTTTATTGGATATTTTTCGTATTTTTGGGGGTTGGATGGCTGAATGGTTAGCACGTGCGCGCTGTATCATAAAGTCTGTCAATGAGTCAACTGTCGGGGTATTCGATTCCCCGATTGTACGTGACAAGGAGTAGGGTCGCCTGCCAAACCTCATGGATTTTCTCCGGGTCCTCCGGTTTCCTCCCACTGCTATGAACCATATGTTAGTCCCGAAATGACCTAGTTTATGTCGAGTGGACGTTAAACCCCATTCTCTCTCTCTCTCTCTCTCTTTATTGGATATTTTTGTTCAACCATAACTGAAACTGTCAATCAAATGCATGGCAGTATTAGACACGCGAATTTTCATTACCCCCAAATATAATAATAATATTTCAAAGACGAAGAGGGTGACAAAACATAGTACCTGCAGATAGTAGTATTATTTTATCAAGGTTTTTTCCCTAGATATGTAACACTGAAACTGGGTCACACGTGTGCAAGGTAATTTGATGACTGCACAGTTAATAGAAAAAAAAACATATTTTTATAGTTCATCTTACGTTTTTAATCCTGTATACGTTTGTATGAGGGCTGGGAGAGTGACGATGATTTTCCTTGGGGGGTGGGGGCGATTGCTTTAAAATACGGATTAAAATATATTTGATTCATCAGCTTACAACAGGTATATATCCTCATCATGGCCGGTTTGACCCCCTGGGTTTGAACAATGGCCAAAGTCCATTACATTTTTAACACGATGTTTATGCATTAAAGTTCCGTTGGCTTGTAAAAAATGAAGTGTGACCAAATTTGGACAGTTCACTTAAAAGCTGCCATGAACGGACATATGTCGTCATAGCTGGTATTTCTGTAAGTGAGCACCCCCACATCCACTTTACACCAGATTGAAATAACTTTTAACCTACTATATAAACAGAATGAGACTACGTATATCACCTCGGTGGAAGCGGACGTTAAAGAAAGCTATAATCCTTTAGTGGCATTTAGCAATTGGAAACATAACAAAACTATACAGTTATATGGGACAACAATCACTGGTTTATTATACACAAGCACGACGTTTCGATAAGTATTCTCTTATCGTTATCAAGCACAATGTGCTTGATAACGATAAGAGAATACTTATCGAAATGTGCTTGATAACGATAAGAGAATACTTATCGAAACGTCGTGCTTGTGTATAATAAACCAGTGATTGTTGTCCCATATAACTGTATAGTTTTGTTAAAGAAAGCTATTTCACACACGTATCATTCCATGAATTCGACTGATTTATGTAACATTTCAAATCTTGTTTTTGAAAACTAATTTGGTGTGTACGACAAAAATAACTTACTCTACTTTTTTAAAAAAAAAAAAAAGAATGGTTAAAAATAAACCATATAAAAGTGAAGATATATGTGTTAATATTATATGATCCAATGTTATATCATGGTATTGAAGTGCATATGATATTCTATATTTTAGCAATTCAAGCAAAACAATACTCTATTTTGGTATTGTTGTTCACGTTCGATAGGATCCCGAATACCAAATCTATTTAAACATTGATCATGAGGACACAAAAATGCAGAGGGCTATAAGGGTGAAATGGAGAGAGAGAGAGAGAGAAATGGGGTTTAACGTCCACTCGACACAAACTAGGTCATTTCGGGACTAACATATGGTTTAATTTTATTTCAATAATTCGCTTGCGCGTAGGGGTCTTTAGCAGTGGGAGGAAACCGGAGGGCCCGGAGAAAACCCACGAGGTTGGACAGGCGACCCTACTCCTTGCCACGTACAACCGGGGATTCGAAACCACGCCAGTCGACTCAATGACAGACTTTATGATACAGCGCGCGCACGCCAACCATTCAGCCATCCAACCCCCCCCCCCCCCCCGGTGAAATGGAGTTTCTTCTACCGCAAGAAAGAAGTCAGTCATGTTCAAAAATTTTCAAAAAGAAGAAACCTTTGGAAAGCCACAAAGTATTCGGAATCAAAGACCACGAACAACAATTATCAATGATTATAACTTCCAAAGTATGTTACAATGCCTTCATAAATCGAATATAAGTGGTTTTAAAGGGGGGGGGGGTAAAATATAAGGGTGATAAAGGGGGCATAACTACGACATGGCCATTACACGCGTTTTCAAGATTGTCCATTTGAGTAAAAAGATCGTTGACAGTCCATTTTATTTAGGAAATAAAAATGGCTACAGGGACAATGTTCACATCTTCACTAACATGCTTTAAACAAATGACCGAATATATTTATCTTATCTAGATTATTGTTAAAAATAAAAACAAGTTCTGACTTAAAATCAAATACATCTTTCATGTTAAATAAAAAAAATATGATAAAAATTAAATGAATAAAATTAGTTATTACTTACATCAGTAGTCATTTTCCTTATAATGAAATCTCCTGTTATGTCACTCTTTTTAACAATGTAAGAACTATAGAAACAAGTTAAGATTACTATCTAAAAGAAACAGTTAAGATACATGTATATTATATAGACACATGTGCATCTTTTGACCAATTAGAAAGATCTTTGTAAAACGAGATGGAGACGGCTATTGTTTACCAAAGTACTTAAACGAAATAAAGACGAAAACTCGCTACATGTATATAAGAAGTTTTTTAGCCAATAATATTTCTCTTCATAAGTGTCAACTCGTGATAAATTTATGTATTGAAATTTAATTTACTTCGTACTTCAGCAAATGAGTGATGACTTCTCTATCTATGCGTTATCTTTAAAAATTATTATTGGTAATATTGCAAAACATCCTTTTGTAGCTATTCATGTGATTGTCACAATAGATTAGGATTAGGGGTGGTTAAAAGAAGTTTGTATTATATATACCCACTTAAGAGACCTAGAAAATATCATGATGTCAATAAAGGTATTACATCAAACAGGAGTTATAAATTTCTGTCGATGACTTTCGAACCAGTTCAAAGAACACAATACCTATATATCTATACATGTATACTGTATGTAGATACGACACCATAAATTAAACAATTGTAATATAGGCTACAGTATACACATTTTAAAACCAATGACCATGTCTTTAGAATGGCTTTCTGATATCTATAATTCCATGGGAATCATTTAACTTTTTGGTCACGATCATTGTTGTTTTCGTTGAGTAAAAACAAGTACTCAGCTTTGTCACCGTAAAATATGCAAATATTGAGATTTAATAAGCGCTTTATTTCATTCTAAGGTTTTCATATATTGGCCTGAAGAAAAAATAACGACAATGGCGTACAAGCAAAAACCCGCTGAAGGGACATTGTATCTATCGATCAATGAAAATAACAATAAATCTGTATTATCACCTAGCCCCGTAAATGTGGTTTCAAAATATTAACTCGTTAACTAATCGAGAATAGAATTAACTAATGTCATCTTGACGTTAACTCAGTGTTTGGCACGTCTGAAATACATATCGTCTAAATAGGAGAGGTTTTCGTGTTAAACGGACAAAAGAACAAGTTATTTCGGTTATCTACTGAATGGATGCAGACCACCAACATTTCTCTATTGACTTTTAAATTAATTCCTGTCTATATACCCGGCGATAGCGAAATCTGCCTCAAATTTGCAAACATTTAAATCAAGCTGGCCATTCGGATCTTTTTCCGAATTTTTACCTGAATTGGTTTTGAACATTTCTACGGGTCAGACAGAGGACCTTGCTATTTGTGATTTGAAACTTGTGCGTTAAAAGCGATATCAACAGGGATCACGGTGGCTAAGTGGGTGAGACGCTGGCTCGCTAGCCTGGAGGTCGCGTGTTTGATCCCTGCATTTGCCGAGAAAGTTCATCCAGATTTTCCGGCGTGGTTCCCCCTTGTCAGTGATACAGTAAAGAGGGCCTAACAAGAACAGCTGTCTAGTCGTTCGGATGGGACGAAAAACCGAGGTCCCGTGTACACATTCATTGGCGTTCACATAAAAGATCCCTTGACAGTTGGAATTCGATAAAAGAGTAGGGCGTAGTGCCGCTGTCCGGGCAAAATTCTCTCATAGCACTGTATGGCGTATGCCCGTCTTCATTAGCCCAGTTCGGAGCAGAACAGTAGGACGTTAAACCCCATTTCATTTCAGCGATATCAACAAGGTTCGAAAAATGCAGTGTTTACAATAAAAAAAATAAATTGCCTTTAATACTAAGTCAATGATAATCTAAAACGGATCTGGGCCCGAGGTCACCTTATCACATTTTTAAGACACTAAATTATTAAAATAAGATCATACATTTATCAACCACTTTACATGTATATTGAAATTATTACATGTGGCAAACAGAGGGGTATCTCTAACAATCATGTATAAAAGTCATGCACAACGTCTCATAGTATTTATTTTGTTGGACACCTCGGTTAGATTCTATTTGCCCTTATTTCCCTCATAGCACACTGTATGGCGTATGCCCGTCTTCATTAGCCCAGTATAGGAGCAGAACAGTAGGACGTTAAACCCCATTTCATTTCATTTTCATTTCATTTCATTCTATCTAGGCCTACCAAAATATCAATGAAGTCTTTTGACTCAGGTAATGTTGTGTGTTGTGCACAAGAAGCGTATAACTTTGTTGTACAATCTGATTAAAACACAGATCCTATTTTGTTTCGTTTTTTATAGTTAAAAATTTCGTTTTACTTGTCTTTACTACACTAGGATCTGGAAGAGTTGTTATAGTCAATAAAACGGTCTGTTACGGTGGCTTCTTGGCGTGCTCTGCGAGTTTTGGGCGTTAGGTACACGGAACTGTAGGTAACCCACAAGAAACATCAACGCTGAATGGTTAATCGAATAATGACGCCATAGGCTCAAAAGCCGCTCATATGATCCCCGACGCGACCTTCCACTACAATGGCTAGATTTATTTGTTAAGGCCAGCACAATTTTCGTCAAGGTTGCTGAGATGTAAATAAGGTTGTTTGCGAGATTGTAGGTTAGGGTTAGAGTAAGCATTATGCCTAGGTACAGGGTTAGGTTTAGGTCTAAGAATTTGGGGGAGAGGTTAAATCTCCACATAAGCACTGACCTAGGATGATGAAAAATTAGTTCGTGATATTTCCTAGTTTTATTAAAAATACATACAATACATTAGATTTATATACAAGGGCGATTTCACTGTTTATTGGTGTTGGTGGCGCTGATGGTCTTCCTTGGATGGTGCTTCTGGTATTCTGGTATTATTGTTCACATCTCGTGACCTTTGACCAAACTTGAAGTTGGCCTTATCAAATAGATCTAACCCAGGCAACCGGTCAGATCTTCATGTATAGTAGAAGCCATCGGAAGTATACGAAACGAAATATAGATCTGTATTTTAAACAGATTTCTTTGTTTTATATATCCAGATTATGTTCATTCTGTGCTACGTTTCGAAGTATAGCGTACCAGTTAGTTATTTTATCCTGAACGTTCATTGGAAACTTGAGGCACTATATAACTACAATAATCATTTCATGTCATTTATTTTAAGGGGGTTGGGGTTGCCGAATGTTTTGACGCGTGTGCGTTAGATCACAAGGTCTGCCACTGAGTCGAGTTGTATGGTTTCGACAAAGAGTAGGATCGCCTTTCCAACCTCATGGATTACTTCTGGTCCTCCAGTTTCCTCAAACAGCTAAAGACCCCTACGCGCAAGGCAATTATTGAAATAAAGTTGAACTACAGGTTAGTCCTGAAATTGCCTAGTTTGAGTCGAGTGGACGTTAAACCAGCTCTCTCTAGATTATTTTGGAATGCTAAGACGTGTTCTCAACATTAGCCTAAACATCTAGTATTTAGTCTGTGTTTTATTGTAACGGGTTGCGTCACTTCCGGTTTATTCATATGACCAGTTGACAGCAATGACAAGTTGAATCAAATAAAATAAAAACGGCGCAGGGTTGAATTCGTCGATACATTAAAGCCATTATAATATACAGATTATATATTTTCTGTAACAAAATGCCGATATATAATGTAAAGGTTGAACAATATCTGTTTAATATCCAGTTCCAATTCCGTTTCAATTATGTTTCTGACTTTTGCACGTCAATTGCACATCAGAAATAAAACGAAACGAAATTGATATCTGATTTCACTCAGACTGACAACACTGTATGGCATGTGTAAGTGTATTACGGATTGTGTGATTAAAATATGTTCCGTTTACTTACAAATTAACATCTTTGCAATAATATTTAAAAGATTCCAACGGCGCAAGTCTTAGATGTATGTTCACAATATTTGGCCATCAACCGGGTGTTCAAAATGTGCCAAAAATACTCTCACAATATGTTTTTAGTGGTATTACACTATAGCCCAAAGTGATGATGATGTCATACCATCAGCAGATGCACATTGATTGCATTTATAGGATATGTAATAGTTTGTATGAATGAATTAATGTGTGAAGGTTATTAAGTGACCTACATGTTTTAGAAATCATGAAACCGATTAAACAATTACCCCTTAAATATCTCAAGGTTAGAACAAATTCCTTGATACTGTTAAGACGTTTTACTCATTTGATCTCACGTTTACTAACAATGATTCAAACCCTTGGGTTTTTTTTAAAACAATAAGCAGAACTATAATGGAAATGGGCGTTACCAAATCTCATGGAATTGTTTAAATATCTGATTCCATTTACCAAGGTTGCATTATTGGGGTCCATTCTTTTTTTAAATAAATAGTTCTTCACCTTTCTAAAATACCTCAATGCATCTCATACATCTCTGTTTAATCTGAAACATAAGGCCATTGGGATGCTTTCTACAAACCGTTTATCAACCAATTTCATCTAAACAAATTCCTTTATGATTTGACATTAGCAAATGTATTTGTATCGTAATTGCAGAAATCTATAAACATGTATACTACTCCAGTGTTTATTAAAGGACAATATTGGTGTCAGCCATTATCACATATGTGATAGAACTGGTTAAATATAATTTTAACACGGAGATCATTGCTACGATAGATGCATAACGAAGATGGGTATAGGAAGGAAACTGATACTGTCCATTCACAATTTTGCAAATTTGTCCTTCAAATACATAAAACTGGTTTTTCGGACGGGGCAAAAGGTGAATGCGGTCGGTACGAGTTAGCTGTGTCCTATATGTTATCATTCATAAAATATTGGACCAAACCTATCGTTTTACCATACAATAGATATGCTATGGAGACTTGACTCCGTGGGTAGAACAACATGGGCTACAAAAGTCAGACTTCTCCTCTGCTCTATTGATTCTGCATGATTAATCAGATTCAGTGAAAGACCAAGGGTCTGTGTAATTTTGTTGTTTATTACAAATTTAAATTCCAATACATTATAGATGTATTCACTGTCGTGAGGAGAGAGGATGGGTCATCTTTTCCACTTGTAATCCCGTCTCCATTAGCCCAGTTCGTGACAAAACAGTAGGACGTTAAACACCATTTCATTTCATTTTCATTTCCACTTGTCATAATAAAATCAAGTTAAAACAGGGGATCCAACTGATTGCTGTTTGGTATCATCAATGCGGATAGAAAAACAAAACGTGGGGAAAACGAACCCGCTTGCTTTATGTGGAAAGCGAAGTACTCGCAGAAAAAAA